AGAGAGAGAGAGAGAGAGAGAGAGAGAGAGAGAGAGAGAACGAACTTGGGCATGAGGGTGGGTGGCCCTTGCCCTTCTTTTCTTTGAAGTACGTGATACCAAGTTTGTCCCATCCAGTTTAAAAAAAGGTGAAATGGTGGCGACATTGGGTGGCATTACCCAGGAAGTTTCCCAGGGTGCATTTGAGTCCATTTTATTTTTTCTTGGGAGTCTGAGTGAGGGTAGACCCTAGTGTGGACTCAAAGCAAAGGGAACCCCAAAATTCCTAATATGACATCCTGGTCTCTCAGCAGTGATACTACCTGTAAAGGGACCACCCCAAGCTCTCTTTCTGTGTGCGTACCTGCATTCAGACTTCCCCTCACTACCTCACCCCCGCCCCAGACGTTGCTCTGGTCTTTCTCACTGCACCTTCCTTCCGCTCACTGAATCGCACCTCCCTTGCATCTTCCTTTACTTGGTCACAGGTCATAAAGTGAGACCTTATGTGGGTGCCGGTTGTTGTTTTGGATCTCAGAAGCCTACCGTGATCTCCTGTCACAGTTTGCTGGGCTTAGCTCCAGTGTCTTCATGACCGCCTGGCCATGTGTGAGAGGGCAGGGCACAGCACGTGCCTCTGGATTGGGAGCGTATGTCATCACTTCAGAGGACCAACACTCCAGACCACACTCACCTCCGTGAGCTGCTGCTGCTGCTGCTGCTGCTGCTGCTGCTGCTGCTGCTGCTGACTTGTCCTAAGTGCTCTGGTCACAGCCTGGGAAGGACTGGGAGACCCTCAGAGGTGGAACACGCACCTGACTTTATCCAGCTACTGTGAGATTTGACTAATTACTTGAGCTCCCTTGGCCTCAGTTTCCCTACTGGGATGCTGCCAAATGGCCACAGCTGGAGAAATGGGTGGCCAGCAGTCCTGCATGCAGCAAGTTGGCTCTCTGGGAGGAACAGAGGGTAGCAACCTTTCCTAGTTACACCTGCCACCAGCCTCCAGGGGGTGCTGGAGAACCCTTTCTTCAGACAGCTTATGATTTATTGGAAATTGCCTTTGTGGACTAAGTTGGCGATACTGAAAGGTGGAGTCAGTTCAATCTGCTCCGCCCCTGAACTTCTTCAGGATGGACTTCAGGAAGGGCGGCTACTGAGCTGGGACTATGGGTTAGGCTGGTCCTTCAGTGGCCCTCCCTCACAGGAGGCCTGGGAAGAAGGGGTTTCACTTTCGAAGTATAAGACAGCTAAACAGAAAGGCCGCTTGGTCATTTGCAATCAAGCTAGCCTGGTGGTGCTTGGTGCTACAGTAACCGACTTGAGGGAGCGTGGGGGTGTTGGGAACTTCTAGGAAGAAGACTGAGAGCCTGGAGGCTCACAGTGATTGGTAAGGAACCACCCATGACTTGGTTACAGAGTCCACTGGTTTGGAGCAGAAAGGTGAGAACCGCACTCTGTCCAGTCTCCCCTCCTGCTGTCCCAGACCCCCGACTCTGTCTGTCCGGCCTCCCCTCCTGCTGCCCCAGAACCCCGACTCTGTCTGTCCAGCCTCCCCTCCTGCTGCCCCAGACCCCCGACTCTGTCTGTCCGGCCTCCCCTCCTGCTGCCCCAGACCCCCGACTCTGTCCAGCCTTCCCTCCTGCTGCCCCAGACCCCCGACTCTGTCTGTCCGGCCTCTCCTCCTGCTGCCCCAGACCCCCGACTCTGTCTGTCCAGCCTCCCCTCCTGCTGTCCCAGACCCCCGACTCTGTCTGTCCGGCCTCCCCTCCTGCTGTCCCAGACCCCTGATTTTGTCTGTCCGGCCTCCCCTCCTGCTGTCCCAGACTCCTGACTCTGTCCAGCCTCCCCTCCTGCTGTCCCAGACCCCCGACTCTGTCTGTCCAGCCTCCCCTCCTGCTGCCCCAGACCCCCGACTCTGTCTTTCCGTCCTCCCCTCCTGCTGCCCCAGACCCCCAACTCTGTCTCCTCTTTCTGCAACAGACCCCTAACTCTGTCTCCTCTCTCTTCAGGAAAATTATAGCATCAGCTGGGGGTTACACATGCCCATTGGGATCCCAATCGCTGCTGGAGTCCTGGCCCTCCTTGCTCTCCTGGCTCTGGCCTTGCACTGTCTCAAAGAGGTACCTTCCTTCTCCTGACTCCATGCCTCTGCCCACAGCCATCTCCTTAGAACCTGCTCACCCTCTTCATGACTCTCTCTGTACCCAGGCCTGGAAGTCCAGATGGAGCCTTTGCTGGGGGGGCTGGAGGTGCCCTCAAACTTGGAAGAACCTGCAGCTTGTCTTCAACCACAGGCCAGATGAGGGCCAGCTGGGAATCCTTTCTTCAGAGCACCGTGGCCCTCAGATGCCTTCCTCAGTGTCCCCTGAAGGCCCGAATGGCACCAGGACTGGTCCTCAGCTTTGGGTGTGAAGAGGAGTGTCGTATGCCCCTCCCCGCCGTGCCAGAGGAGGTTGTAGTACCCGCCAAGCACCCTGCAAGTATTTGGAAAACCACTAACATGGATGGAGGACTGACTGAATGAGAAGGGCATTGTGACTGCTGTGGGGTGAGGGGTGGGTCCTTGTCCCCCAGGAGTATGGCACGAGGGAGGGTCTAGCAGAAGTGTCTCTCTCCTCTGGCTTATGGCAGCAAAGCTTTCTCCCCAAAGCCACCCTGAAGAAGCAGAGGTTCTGGTTACTCCATCTTTAACAGTAGCCTGTTCCCATGGGTGCAATGCCATGACCCAAGAGAGAGCAGAGCCATGGGCTAGAAGCAAAGGACAGAGGTCCTTAAGAATGGCCACTGAATGGCACGCAGGCACAAGGAAGCTGCAGCTGACCTCCTTCCAGTCCCAAGAGCTCTGTCACTGTCCAGGCAGAGTTCTCAGGCCTAAGGTCCGGCTGGCTCCTTCCTGGGACCACAGCAAGGGCCACTGCAACCTCATTGCTTGTAGCCCTTGCACTTTCCCGGCTCAGCCCAGGCATCAGAGAAATCAGGGCCTCCTGAAGCATGTCTGGGTCCCTGGCTGCTGAGCACCAAGCTAGTGAGCTTTCTGGGTCAGGACACTGCTGCAGCCTACCCTCTTGCCCATGTTTCCAGACCAGAGCCACTGGAATCTGGGTTCCTGAGAACCCCCAGGGCCACTTGATCAGGTTTTCCTGGGCTTTTCCCGTTAGTAAGGGCAGGTTAGTTAGGTTGGCAGGTAGAATGTGAAAATGCCCCCAAGATGGCTGTCCTCCGAGGTCCACAGGCTCATGAGCCAGTCCTCTGGAGCGCAGATACAACCATGAGTGCACCACGCTCTCTGATGAGGTCGAGCTATGGGGCGGAGGGACTGATGCATTATAGCCTCTAATTAATTAAATTGCCTCTGCGTTAAGGAAGAGATGGGGCCAGGAGCAGTGGTGCAGGCCTGTGGGTGGGCTGAGCCAACTGGGCAGGGTGAGGCAGCAGGATCACTTGAGTCCAAGACATCAAGGCCAGCCTGGGTAACAAAGTAAGGCCCTGCCTACTTTTCAACAGGGTCTGCTATGCAGCCCCTGCTGGCCTGAAATGTGAGACCCTACCTTGACTCCCTGCCTGAGTATTGGGACTATAAGCACAAGCAGTCTGAGACCTTGATTCTCAAAAAAAAAGTGGTGGTGATGATGACGACGACGACGACAACAACGACGAGGAGGACGACAAGGACGACGAGGAGGAGGAGGACGAGCCTGGATAGTCTGATTTGGTCTGTGAACTGTTTAAGAGTCGGCCCAGAGCTGCCCAGGAGAGGACGAGCCTCCATTCTGAGGCTGCCACCTTGACTGCTGCTGTGTGACCCTAGACAGAGGACACTGTTCAGCCCTCCCAGAGTCCTGGTTCACCAACAGCATGAGGTAATAAATAGGAGTTTTTGGCAGTTTTTCCTGGCAATTTGTTCTAAGGCAATAAATGTGTGCCGAACAGGACAGGCTGGCAGGTCTGAGGGCAGTGAGGAGTGAGGCCACTTTGGGCAGGGCACCGATGCCAGGGCTGTCAGGAGAGCCTGCCTAGCCTCTACTACCCTCCTTTTTGGCAGGGCCCTGCTGTGGTGAGGTAGGCTGCACCGGGCCTATTAGAACCTCCAGAATGAGAAGGGAGGATTGGCCTCCCCAGAGTACTGGACATCTTCTTTTGGCCTTCCAGAGCAAGAGGCTGTAGGATGAAGCAAGTGGGAGCAGGCCTAAAGCCTGTGGTACCCTAAGTGGGTCCTGGAGACATCCTTAAATACATCTCTAGCATCCGGTCCTTAAACCAGGTAATCACACCTCACGCACACAGTCAGGGAGAGGACTCCATGGCAGGTACTGTGGCGTCTGCATGGACAGGTGGTTAAGGAGGTGCCTGGAGGCAGAGGTGGGTGTGGAAGCTGCTGCTGTCACTGGGTGAGTTGCTGGGGCCCCAGATGAATTAGAAGCAGAGGGATGGGGATGGATATCAAATGCCCACTGTTGCTGCGTGGTGACGGTGTACAACTTTAATTCCAGCACTCAGGAGGCAGAGGCAGGGGGATCTCTGAGGCTAGCCTGGTCTACAGAGTGAGTTCCAGGACAGCTACACAGAGACAGGGCTATACAGAGAAACCGTGCCTTGAAAAATCAAACCAAACCAAGCAAACAAATAAAAAAAACCCACTGTTGAGTTTTTGTTTGAAGTCCTTGTCTCCACCTGCCCAATGTAATCTACCTGAGATTACAGACATGTACCACTAGGCCCAGCTTTTCACAGGGATGCTGGGAATCTGACTCAGGTCCTCAGAGCTTCGTAGCAAGCATTTCTCCAGCCCCCAGCCCATCTTTTTGACTGGAGGCAAATCTCAGGTGGGGGCCCAGGGTGGCTGACAGTCAGGGCGGGGCAATGGGCTAAGATAAAAAGTGGGCAGTTACCGGTCCAGACATATCCAGGGTCTCAAGAAGCAAACCTGGCCTTCGTTTGGTGCCCCTTCCCTTCTGGGCTCACCCCAACTCATTCAAGTGAGCTCATGAAGGAGTCCGGCTGAAGGGGTGGCACATGGCCCACTCCTCAGACCTTCCCTATGGCTGGGAACAGAGCCTCGGCAGGTGCTCTCCCAGTCCTGGTCTAGGCCAACCACACCCATTACTTCCCCAGCACTTGGCAGACACTATGTGACTTTGTGGCAGCACAGACTTTCGTTGTAGAGGGGATGTTGACACACAGCAGCTCTGCACCATGAGACTAAACAGGGTTTATTGAGGGAAGCAGATGAGCAGAAGCCAGTGGTCGGCACCTGGCCGTCACTATCCACAGGGGTGGCTGCGTCATGGCTTGCTTGCTAAAGGAGAGGAGCATGCAGCTCTGTTTCAGGGTAAGGACAGCTCTGTCTAGGGTGCAGCACGCAGCAAGTCCTGCAGTTCCCAGGGATGCTACAGTGTCATTTCTAGCATGGTTCTCTTAGTTCTGTAGGAGGCAGGCTTTGCTGCCACCTAACTGTCCTTGTGCATCAGGCAACACCAGGTGGGCAATTCTCAGTGGTGCAGCCGTCGCCAGAGCATGCCTATCTGGTGTCACCTCCTCCTGACATCTAGGTTGGCTCCCTCTGCCAGGAACTTCTGCTGCCACGAGAACTGTGGACAAGGGTGTAATTTAAGTTGGGACAGAATGCAGGACACAGTCTGACAGGAGGTGTGCAGCAAAGCCTTGAGCCTGGCCTGCTCTGTCAGGGTTGGGGCGGGCTATGTCCTAGTAAGCAGCAAGTGACTGAAGACCAGGAAGGCCCCAGCACTTGTCCCTAAAAGATGCAAAAAACACAAACAAACAAAAGAGCCCCTGCTGTGGCTTGCACTGTCTTCAGAGGGTGGCAAGAAGTTCCCGTACATATCCTGGCTCAAGGCAAATTCATTTTGCTGAACTTTATGGAGCTCAAAAAGGGTTACACGCCCCCTGGAAAGCTCTTTGCAAGGCTGCATGCTCTCGAAGCAGATGGTGCTGAGGCCTGGACAGCAGAGTGAGGTCGAGGTATATCAGTCCAGACACACTTCTCCACAGCTGTCTAAGGTCATAACGGTGGCAGCAGCGTGGCACAGGGCTGCAGACCACCCACCAGCTCTTGGCACTATTTGATTGCCAACACAAGATACCACGCAAGGTCCAAGCACTCCTCCTGGGAGACCTCTGAGGAAATGTGAAGGTCGTCGATGCTTTGCAAGAGGAAAAGGAGTTGTCAAGCGCATCTGAGTAGATGGGAAGTGCCTGCGTGGATGGGAAACATCTGGGGTGTCAGTTGCTCCTCTGTTGCGTCAGAGAAGGCTCGCCTCATCGGAACTGGGTGTTCAGTTTTTGTGCTTTGATGCTCCTGATGACAGAGAAATATGTATCATTACAAAGGTTTTATTGGCCAGGCAGTGGTGGCGGACGCCTTTAATTCCAGCAGTCGGGAGACGGAGCCAGGCGGATCTCTGTGAGTTCGAGGCCAGCCTGGGCTACAGAGTGAGTTCCAGGAAAGGTGCAAAGCTACACAGAGAAACCCTGTCTCAAAAAACCAAGGGAAAAAACAAAACAAAACAACAACAAAAACCCCAAAGGTTTTATTTAGCTGGGAGGTGGCTGTGCATGCCTTTAACCCCAGCACTCAGGAGGCAGAGGCAAGAAGATCTCTGTGAGTTCAAGGCCAGCCTGGTCTACCAAATGAGTTCTAGGACAGCCAGGGGTATAACTAGAGACCCTGTCTCAAAAAAACAAAACAGAAATAAAGCTGGGTAAACTGGCTTTAATACCAGCACTCAGGAGTCACGGGCAGGCAGATCTCTGAGTTCAAGGCCAGCCTGGTCTATAGAGTGAGTTCCAGGAAAGGCTCCAAAGCTACACAGAGAAACTCTGTCTTAAAACCAAAAACAAACAAAACCCATTATGACCTGTTTTTTTTTTGTTTTTTTTTTTTTTTTTAAACCCCCTCACTATATAGCTGAGATGGGCTTGGAACTGACCACGTAGCCCAGGCCGGCCTTGAACCAGGCACGCTCTAGTTTTTCCTCAGCAAAGGTGAAGCTGGGGCCTGACGTTCAACTGTGCTTGGAGGCCTGTTCTCCTGACACCAGCACACTTGCGGGGCCTTCCTTTGTCACCACTGCACTGTCACAAGTCACAGCAGTCACAACTCTAAGAGTGGCTGGGCTGGGTAGTTCTGACTCACCGTGACGCTGAGATGCCACCAGGGCCATACTCATCCGCAGGCTCAAGGGCAGAGGACCAACTTCTGGCATGGTTCCTGCTCTAACCTCTTTCTGAATCAGTTTTTGTAGCTTTTATCACTCTTGGAATATTTTTGTGGGTCTGGGCATTAAATGCAGGGTCTAGCACATCTTATATAAACTTCCAGTCCTCTTCTCTAGTAATTCATTAAATAAGTTATCAAAGTTGTTGACATACTAATAAATGTCTGTAATAGTCTATGATTCTTTTATCATTTTATTTATTTATTTTTGAGACAAGTTCTTGCTGTGTAGACCAGGCTAGCCTTGAACTCATAGAAATCTACCTGCCTCTCCCTCCCTGGTGCTGAGATTAAAAGTATGTGCTACTACACCTGACTTACCATTTTAGTTTAAGTTTTTATTTATATGTAGTATGTGTGTGTCTAAATGCCACATGTACCTTCAGAGGCCTGAAGAGGGTGATGGATCCCGGCAGCTGGAGTTACAGATGCTTGTGAATGGCACAACATGGGTGCTGGGATCCAAAATTGAGTCCTCTATTAACACAGTCAGTACTCTCGCCCACTGTGCCCTCTTTCCAGACCCTGAATCTGTATTTTTTTCCCCAGAGCTGAGGACCGAACCCAGGGCCTTGTGCTTGCTAGGCAAGTGCTCTACCACTGAGCTAAATCCCTAACCCCCCTGAATCTGTTTTTATTCTATTTATTTGGCAATACAACCTCTTTCTCTCTTCCCATTCTCCCTTTTTTTTTGTTTTTTTTGTTTGTTTGTTTGTTTGTTTGTTTTTGATTTATTTATTTATTTAGTATACAGCACATATGACTGCAGGCCAGAAGAGGGCACCAGATCTCATTACAGATGATTGTGAGCCACCATGTGGTTGCTGGGAATTGAACTCAGGACCTCTGGAAGAGCAGTCAGTGCTCTTAGCCTCTGAGCCATCTCTCCAGCCCCCTCCCTTTATTTTTTTAAATGTTTATTGTATATGTATGGGTATTCTGTCTGCATACCACGTTTGCCTGAAAGAAGAGCGTGCCAAATCCCCTGGGACTGGAGTTACAGAGGGTGGTGAGCCATCATCTGGTTGCTGGGAACTGAATCTGGGTCCTTTGCAAGAACAGTACATGCTCTTAACCTCTGAGCCATCTCTCCAGCCCCAATAAATGCTTTCCTGACCAGGTATTGAACATGGGCCACAATGGTGAGAGCACACATTTGTAATCCTGGCATTTGTGGGGGCAAGAGAATCAGAATTCATGATTGTCGTAAAATATATTGTGAGTTTGATGCTAGCTTGGGCTATAAAGACCCTATCTCAAAATAACAACAAAACAAAAACGTTGGTTTTGTATTGTTTATATAAAGGGAAGTATTTTTTTTAAAGATTTATTTATTATGTATACAGTGCTCTGCCTGCATGTGTGCCTGCATGGCAGAAGAGGGCGCCAGATCGAATTACAGATGGTCGTATGGTTGCTGGGAATTAAACTCAGGACCTCTGAAAGGGCTCACTGGGATCTGCCTGCCTTGGCCTCCCAAGTGTTGGGGATTAAGGGCGTGCATGCCACCATCGCCCAGCCTGGGAACTAATTTTTAATTAAATAAAATTATTTGCAAACTTGTGTGTCATACATGTACACAAACACACAGTACTATTGCATCCTTCTGGGGTAGTCCTTTTTTTTTTTTTTTAACCAGATTTTTCAAGAGACAACGACCTATAAAGTATTGAGCTGTCTTAGAATAAAAGAAGATCACTCCCAGCATGGTGGTGCAGGCCTTTAATCCCCTTCCTTTAATCTCAGGAGGCAGAGGCAGGCAGATCTGAGTCCGAGGCCAGCCTGGTCTACAAAGTGAGCTCTAAGACAGCCAGGAGTGCTATTACACAGAGAAACCCTGTCTCATTGGAGGGCTGGGAGGGAAGAAAGAAAAGAAAAGAAAAAAAGAAGAAGATCAATTTGGAATTGGAGATGGTCTAAGGACTAGGCAATGGGAAGGGACCAATAGAAATGAGAGGAAAAGGATCTGCAAATGAGGTCAGGCACAAAGCCCTGGTCACTCAGTACATACTTTTCTTCTTCTTGGCTGCACTGGTCTTCTTGGCTTCACTGGCTCTCTTGGCTTCACTGGCTTTCTTGGTTTCACTGGCTTTCTTGGTTTCACTGGCTTTCTTGGCTTCACTGGCTTTCTTGGCT